TTTCAGCTGTTAACAAACACACATACACACACACACACACACACAGAACATTTTGCTTGACTTGGTTATACACGGTGGGCCAGACCCCCTTACCGTGCACCCCCCCCCCCCCACATCCCTATAAATTGCATATCGTTGTGTTCCTTGTGACAATTTATTAAAAAAAAGCCAATGTTCCCACAAAAAAAAGTGAACGAACTGCCCCAAAATGGCGTCCAAACATGGCGGATTGACGACTTTGACTTTAGTTAGTTTTTTTGTTACTGAGAATCAGCATTTGGCTTAATTTCATTATAGTTGGTCTTTTATTAAAGCTGGATAGTCATAGAATAATAAAACATGAAAAAATATTTTAAAAAATCGGTAAAGTCAATTGTTTTTACAAAAAAATTTTCAAGTTGAAAATCAAGCGTCGTTTGTAATTGAACGGTCAACAATAATGCAAAACGTGCTGAAATAAAACATCTGGAGAATACATTTCTCTTTCTAAAACACTGATTACTTTTTAAAATATTTGAAGTAGTTCCGTAGAAAATGTACATAAGCGGCAGAAAAGCGCTACTGGCGTGGGTGCCTCAGGCCTCTACCACACCACTCAGTACTCATAAATGGCTTAGTTATAGTGCTATAATAACGTTTTTGTTATATTATATTGATTGTATTAACGAACACATATTAATAAAATAATTTATTTGTCAAAAAAATTTTTTTTTAAATTTATTATTATTTTTTTTATCTATTATTATTTATTTTTTAAAATTTAACTTCCTTTATTCTATACGGAGGTCGCTTAAGAAGGCCTCTATTATAAAAATTATATAATTATAATAATATAACTTAATTCAAAAATACTTTGCAGAATATCTTGAATTTTTTATTTAATATTTGCAATTTAACATTTTGTTTTATATATTTCCTGATTCTTAGAGGTAATTTAAATTGTATATACTTCCTCGAAAATGAGTCATATTAATATCTGTTTTATAAACTAAAATAATATATACCTAATCTGAACTACTTTTAATGAATAGGTGATGGATTGTTTAGTAAAATTCAGATATCGCTATAAAAAAAATCATTTTATTCGAAAGTTGGACCATATCATAAAAAATATCAACTTTTAATATTAAATGCATTATTACCTCTGCACAAAATAAGGATGGAAAGGGCGAAGCAATAAGTTCTTCTATGAAACTGGAACTGATTGTTAGTATCTGGTCTCAAAATGAGGGAAAACGCGAAATTGAACCCAAACATTGGAAAAAATTCATTAAGCGAACGACAAAGGAAGTGCCAAAATTTGGGAAAAAGAAAACAAGGATCAGTATCCGTTATATGGCTAAACGAATATATAGTAGACAAATGAACAGAATATTTCAATATGCTGCTAAAAGGGGGTCAAAATGCTTGATCAGTTTGGATGATATTAAGCAGGTTTATTATGGTGAAGACCATTTCATCAGCAAGAAAGATTTGTTCTAGGCAATTGGCAAGCAGGTCTGGAGGAAGTAAACGAGGTTTATAATGGTGTAAACCACGTTATTTTAGATTGCTATTGAAGTTGTACATTGGGACTATCTTCACTTTGAAGCAGGTTATAGAGAGGTCTACCGAGAAAAGAAAATAGCTCTCCTCCTGTTTAGTGCAATTGCAAAAGATTTTTGAAGGAATCTGAAAGGAAAACGAGCTTTTGTGAAAGACTAGTAGATATTAGATCAATCCAAAGTGTGAGGCATTAAGCCGATAGAGAACCATTCTTTTTTCTCTGTGGACTTCTCTATAACCTACTTTAAAGTGAAGACAGTCCCAATTTGCAACTTATGTTCCAATGTGCAACTTGAGTTTCTCAATCCATATCGCTCAAACAATCGACAATATTTCTTATTTTAGCTTCTACGATTCTTGAGTAGACTTTCTTTGGTACGCACAGCATTTCGGGTAACTTCGTCCAGACCAGCTGACCACAGAGAAAAAAGAATGGTTCTCTATCGGCTTAATGCCTCACACTTTGGATTGATCTAATATCTACTAGTCTTTCACAAAAGCTCGTTTTCCTTTCAGATTCCTTCAAAAATCTTTTACAATTGCACTAAACAGGAGGAGAGCTATTTTCTTTTCTCGGTAGACCTCTCTATAACCTGCTTCAAAGTGAAGATAGTCCCAATGTACAACTTCAATAGCAATCTAAAATAACGTGGTTTACACCATTATAAACCTCATTTACTTCCTCCAGACCTGCTTGCCAATTGCCTAGAACAAATCTTTCTTGCTGATGAAATGGTCTTCACCATAATAAACCTGCTTAATATCATCCAAACTGATCAAGCATTTTGACCCCCTTTTAGCAGCATATTGAAATATTCTGTTCATTTGTCTACTATATATTCGTTTAGCCATATAACGGATACTGATCCTTGTTTTCTTTTTCCCAAATTTTGGCACTTCCTTTGTCGTTCGCTTAATGAATTTTTTCCAATGTTTGGGTTCAATTTCGCGTTTTCCCTCATTTTGAGACCAGATACTAACAATCAGTTCCAGTTTCCTAGAAGAACTTATTGCTTCGCCCTTTCCATCCTTATTTTGTGCAGAGGTAATAATGCATTTAATATTAAAAGTTGATATTTTTTATGATATGGTCCAACTTTCGAATAAAATGATTTTTTTTATAGCGATATCTGAATTTTACTAAACAATCCATCACCTATTCATTAAAAGTAGTTCAGATTAGGTATATATTATTTTAGTTTATAAAACAGATATTAATATGACTCATTTCCGAGGAAGTATATACAATTTAAATTACCTCTAAGAATCAGGAAATATATAAAGCAAAATGTTAAAATGCAAATATTAAATAAAAAATTCAAGATATTCTGCAAAGTATTTTTGAATTAAGTTATATTATTATAATTATATAATTTTTATAATAGAGGCCTTCTTAAGCGACCTCCGTATAGAATAAAGGAAGTTAAATTTTAAAAAATAAATAATAATAGATAAAAAAAATAATAATAAATTTAAAAAAAAATTTTTTTGACAAATAAATTATTTTATTAATATGTGTTCGTTAATACAATCAATATAATATAACAAAAACGTTATTATAGCACTATAACTAAGCCATTTATGAGTACTGAGTGGTGTGGTAGAGGCCTGTAGGCACCCACGCCAGTAGCGCTTTTCTGCCGCTTATGTACATTTTCTACGGAACTACTTCAAATATTTTAAAAAGTAATCAGTGTTTTAGAAAGACAAATGTATTCTCCAGATGTTTTATTTCAGCACGTTTTGCATTATTGTTGACCGTTCAATTACAAACGACGCTTGATTTTCAACTTGAAAATTTTTTTGTAAAAACAATTGACTTTACCGATTTTTTAAAATATTTTTTCATGTTTTATTATTCTATGACTATCCAGCTTTAATAAAAGACCAACTATAATGAAATTAAGCCAAATGCTGATTCTCAGTAACAAAAAAACTAACTAAAGTCAAAGTCGTCAATCCGCCATGTTTGGACGCCATTTTGGGGCAGTTCGTTCACTTTTTTTTGTGGGAACATTGGCTTTTTTTTAATAAATTGTCACAAGGAACACAACGATATGCAATTTATAGGGATGTGGGGGGGAGGGGGTGCACGGTAAGAGGGTCTGGCCCACAGACTATTATTTGAACTCAGGGGACCTCAAAATGTCCTCAAAACTGAGATTCAAAAATTTTCACGATCGCTATACTTTCCTTTACCATATATTCATATATAGGTAAGTGAAAGTAAAAATAGAGTAAGGTTGTTAAAGAATCATATTTTAGAAAGCCTGAATGAATATAGGTGAATAGAGCTGTCAAAGAAAGGAGATTGGTAGGATAGCTAAATTATTTTAACATTTGAAGACAACTTATAAGTTATTCCTTAAATTTTATTAATCTTGGAAAATTAATTTTAATAACGTATGTAAAATGGTATAATTAAACTAAACAGTCATTAAGGAGTATTAGTGTAACATTGAATCGAACCAATTACAGTAACGACTGTAAAAATTAAAAAATATCTTACATTAAGATTTTATTTCATTAAATATTTTAATAAAATATTTTTTTTTATTTGTAATAGGATAAAAAATTTATTTGTTTTTCCTATTGGTATTTTAATTGATATATATATATATATATATATATATATATATATATATATATATATATATATATATATTTATATATATCAATTATATATATATCAATTATATATATTTTTTTTTTTTTTCAGGTTCTTCATATACTTCTTGTTTTGCGAAACATGGCTCGGTTTTGTTGAAGATGAGATGATGTATGATGACTTCGCTACGTTCCCAACCGGTCACGTGTTCTCACTTTCGAAAAATAAGGGACATTGCTGTACACATGATTGGCCAAGTCCGTTTCAACCGTCATACACTGATACTGAAGTTCTACCAATAGGAAAAAAAAAAAAATCTGATATAATCGATAACTTCGAAGAATATAGTGAAGTAAAATGTACGGAGATAGCTGATAAAATAATCACATCACGTCAAGTAAAGGAAACATTAAAAAAATCATTGCAATCATTCCACAGCGATTGTCGAAGATTTTCACCATTTGAATCTCAATTGAACTCGGTAGGCAGTGAAAACCCCGATTTAATATCGACAGAGAAGCATTACATCAATAAATCTTACATATTTGAATATAAATGGAGGCAATTAAAACTGAAGGATAATTTTGGAGATATAAAATACAAGCAAACTGATGCACATACTGAAAAAGTACTGCGTTTAAAGCATATGAAAAATTTTTATTCCATACCAATATTCAATATGAGAAAATATGTCGTTAATCAAATGAAAATCAAACAGTTAAAAAAATATTATCCTTTATTATACAAAAGAAATAGAGTGCAAAATAAATGGAGACAATACCTGAGAAATGAGAAGGATTATGATGAAAAAATTAAAATGGAAAAACTGCTGCAAAATATTAAAAAAATGCAGCCCCAGACGAAGTTAAACGAACGTAAAAAAATAAAATTAGATAATCTCTCTATGAGGAACGTATTGGAACTGGTTCAAGGACATGAAATGGATGCATGGGGGATTTGGAGCCATGAAAAATTCAATCAACGTAAATGTCGCATATGTCGTCAGATTGTTGATAGGAGATATCACTTTTGTCCTCAAAAGTTCTGGGACGTGAAGGAGGAATGGAACATTCCACCCTTTGAAACTGAGAGAGAAGATCCTGGTTACTTCCCTCTCATTAATGAGTTTCCAAAATATTATCCTAGCAGTTATAACCGTATTTTAAAATATCACGAAAAAAAAAGTAAAATAGAATATTTGATGCGTATTCTTTATGGCAATGATATCATCCCATATCGAATAATGAATAAATATGAGTCGCCCCAAAAAGAACACCACCCAACACCTAAAGTGCATACACTGCCAGAAAAGTGTAGTTCAATAGAAATTGAGGAACAAAAAGAGGAATTAGAAACCAAGACACCAAAAGAAGGTACTGTACAAACAATACACATCACTCAATTCTCTCTTGATTTATTAAAGGGAAAGAAAGTAGTTTTTAAGAGGTCATGGCGGTATTATCACAATTGGAAGTGGATGATTTCGATGGCCGAAGACGAAGAAGAGGAAAAACTTTCAGAAAATAATGACGAAGATAACCCTATAAAGACAGCCACCCAGCCAGTAGATGAATCTAATGTTGATAATTTGCAAACAAAAAATGATAAAACAAGTCCTGAAGAAGTTTTGACAGAGGATTCTGTCATACCTGGTATCCCTTCAGCAACAATTAAAGCTTGGCGTGCCAGATTGGAATACATTAGAACGAGGAGGCATGTAGGCATTCAATGCCCGTCCAATGTTGACACCATACACAAGAAAAGAATAACGGATTTGGATTATGAATTTGAATTCAAACCCAGAAAACTAAAGAAAAAACGAAAATCGAATAAAAAAAAGCCATATAAACCTAGAATTCGTCGAAGACTTGACAAAAAAGTAAAACGTAGTTATATTAAAACGTATGATATGGAGCGATATATGCTTTGGAAAAAAAAGATTGCTGCTGAAGGCAACACCTGTTTTGATAGTTTATCAACTAAGTCAAGATCTTGCAACGAAAAAAACATGGTATATAATAGGAACAAAGTAAAAAATGTTGATGGTGATTTTCATAAAAAATCTCACAATAAATCATTGGAAGAACTTTTGCCTGTACAGATCTTATTTGCTCAAACGGTCGATAAGAAACCAAAAGAAGTTGTTCTTCCATCGAATGTTGAAGACTCTTCAGCTGTTCAATTAAGCCATGACCATAAGAAGGATATATTTCCAATATCATCAAATAATCAGTTTGACAAGTATCCGAGCTCAATGCATATTCAATTGATCGGCAGAAAGCCAAGAAAAATGATTTTGGAACCCAATGTTGCAGATTCGTCAAGATTTCAATTAGGTAATGACATCGGAAATGGCTTTTACAAAATATCATCAAAAAAACAATCACTTATGTCTTGTCATAGATCATCAAATATTAAATTAGTCGATAACACAACAAATCAAGTTGTTTCTGAACCTAATATGGAATATACAACAAATATTCAACCAATCCATATTTTTGAAAACAGTTTTAACGTATTGAGATGTTTAAAAAACAATATGTCTAGCAAAAAACAAGTCCATTCCATTAATGATGACACTAATGAAATAACCATCAGCCGGTATATTGAACCAGAAAATCGTTTCCTTAAAGCTGAAACTAAAAAAGTTAAACCTTGCGGTGATCTAGTAAAACATTTCCCATCTTCTTTTTTGAAGGGATGTGAACAAGATGACTGCAGTGATTCAGTGGCAAGTAGCCAGAAGGAGAAATCCTTCCTTAGTTTGATGACGCACCCACGTAGTGACGTTGCAATGGATTTTTCGTCCGTGAAGGATAAATATAAGCATAAATGTCAGTCTAGTTCTCGCACTTCTGGAAAACCGTCTGGGAAAACGAATGCGAATATCGCTCCCGCAAGCTCTAACAACAAGCCTGAAAAACGCTTTAAAGTGTGCCTGTCAGGCATTGAATCTAGCAGTTCAAGCGAAATAGTGAAAAAAAATAAGAAAGTCAATTCTGTATCAAAACGCCACAAAGTCTTCCACATCAGTAAAGATCGCCAAATCAATTCTTTTACCCATACTAAAATAACGTTGAAATGTAATAAATGGGCTATTCAAAACTTTCCTATCTTAAAAGCTTCCAAATATGAAAAATACTATCGAAACAAGCAATCATCAGAAGAAGTTGCTAAGAAGTTGCTTCCTGTTAGTTCTCCTGTCTTCAGAGAGTCTATTGAAGAAACTACACAGGAAACTGTCACAGACACTCCTACAGACATAGAATATTCTATCTCAGAATTGGTTAGTACATCTACACCTCTTGAATATTCAGAAATAACATCACCTCTTCTAAGACCTATCGCTAGAGATACTGGCAGAAGAACAATCGCTGACAGATGTATGAAATTATTAAAAGAAAGTAAACTTCTCCCTCCTAAGTATTGCAGGTGGAAAGATTGGTTAGGCCTATCTCCTCAGGAAATTGATTTCTATAGTGAAAGCAGCTTTTTAGATGAACTTGTAGAAGTGATCAGTGATATTGAAAAAAAAAGCGAAAAACAACGTTTAAGCATTCATGGTCAAGTCAGGTCAACTTCACCTACCATGTTAGCTGCAATAGGGGAAAAAGAGTTAGCAATTAAATATTGTGTACGTATTGTATTTTTATATATTTAGATATATTATCTATAACTTATAAATAGAATTTTAATGATTAAATAAATTCATAATAGATTTTTAATTTGAGTAGTGGTATTTAGAATTAAATTTTTTGTTCAAATTTTGGGAGTTAGATTATAATAATGTTTAATGATCCAAATCATATAGTCCTAAATTGTTTTTGAAACTAATCATATTGATGCTGTTGATCCAATTTGATAATCTACCTGTAGTACTGCTATTGAGATTATTTATTTTGACTATTTCATCCTTTCCAATTTACTTTTAATCTTATTTATTTAAATTTACAACTTTATTAAAATAAAATAGTAATACTGCTAGTATGTGTGAACAGAACAAGAATAATGACATGAATCAGTCGAGAAACAACCAAATGGTGGCACTCCATAACTATTGGGTTGGAAAATAAGTCCTTTCGGTTTTTCAGGGTGAAATAAAACTCAATGTACTATAGACATAAAATTTATTTCAATCTACAATATATTGACCATTATTTAATATGACTTTATCCCATCTTTCTACTGATTTCATAATGTCATGTTCATAGAATGTCTGGAGTTTATTGTTAAACAACGGATCCAAGTGGTTTTTGATGTCCTCTTCCTTTTAGAATTTTTTTTTCCATTCATAGAGTTCTGCAGAGATCGAGATATAACTGGTAGTGACTTGGAGCCACGTCTGGTGAATAGTGAGTGTTGGGGTCAGGGGCATTTCAAAATTAAAATAAAAACCTTTCCCCCGTGAGTTTCCTCAAAGGTGGGGAAAATTCGAGTAAAATTAAATGGTGGAAAAGAAGGGGGGAAAATATTGAAAATAGAGACCTGTAAAAGAGAGAAAAAAAAACATGCACATAAAGGAAAATAAATATAAATCCCCTTCTAAATGTTTATAATATTTATTGAATAAAAAAATCTAAATATATATATAAAAGTTAAATAAACATTGATATAACGTTCTGAGAAAAAAATACAATCCATAAATACATACCCTATTAAATAATAAAAAAAATTGTCCATCAAAACATAAACAAAAAATTAACTTCTAAATTAGAGCTAAACCCAGAGAAAAAAAATATAACCTAAAACTCAACCGAGTTCTCAAAAGACTAAATTAATTAGAAGAATGACAAAGTTAAGTTAATGTTCACTGTCTTCATAAAGGCGGAGAGACGAAAAAAATACTAGTGGAAGGTACCCCCAAATAAGTTACCTGGATGTTCAACTGTCGATGGTGGGTAGTATCTATAGTCTATGGGCCAGACCCCCTTACCGCGTACCCACCCCCACATCCCTATAAATTGCATATCGTTGTGTTCTTTGTAACTATTTATTAAAAAAAAAGCCGATGTTCCCACAAAAAAAAGTGAACGCACTGCCCCAAAATGGCGTCCAAAGATGGCGGATTGACGACTTCGACTTTAGTTAGTTTTTTGGTCACTGAGAATCAGCATTTGGCTTAATTTCCTCATAGTTGGTCTTTTATTAAAGCTAAATAATCATAGAATATTAAAACATGAAGAAATATTAAAAAATAAGCCTATGAAAAACACCAGTAATTTTTTTTAACAAAAAAATTTTCAAGTGTCAAATCAAGCGTCGTTTGTAATTAAACAGCCGACAATAACGCTATACGTGCTGAAATAAAACATTTGGAGAATATATTTCTCTTTCTAAAACGCTGATTATTTTTTTAAAAATTTTAAGCGATTCCGTAAAAAATGCACTTATGCGACAGAAAAGCGGTACTGGCGTGTGTGCCTACAGGCCTCTACCACACCATTCAGTTCACATAAATGGCTTAGTTATAGTGATATAATAACATTTTTGGTACATTATATTGGTTTTATTAACGAACAAATATTGATTCAATAATTTAATTGTAAAAAAAAAAAAATTATTATTTTTTTTAATTTAACCTCCTTTATTCTATACGTAGGTCGTTTAAGAAGAACTCAATTGTAAAAATGTTATAATTAAAATAATAAAACTTAATTAAAAAATACTTTGCCAAATATCTTGATTTTTTTTAATTTAACGTTTGCAATTTAACACTGTGTTTTGTATATTTACTGATTGTTAGAGGTAATTAAACTATTTATATACTTCCCAGGAAACGAGTCATATTAATACCTGTTTTATAAACTAAAATAATATATACCTAATCTGAACTATATATAATGAATAGCTACCAGGTTGTTTAGCAAAACTCATATATCAGTAATTAAAAAATTAATTTTCATTTTCATTAAATTTCATTTTCATTTTGTGCAGAAGTTGGACTATATCATAATAAAATAGGAAATTTTAATATTGAATGAATTATTCTCTATGCACAAAGAAAGATAGAAAGGGTGACGTTATAAGTTCTTCTATAAACCAGAACTGATTGTTTGGATTTGATCTCAAAATGAGGAAAAACACGAAATTGAACCAGAAAATTAGAAAAATACATTAAGCGAACGAGAAAGGAAGTGCCAAAATCACTATCACAAAACCACGCTAAATGATTATGTAGTAGACAGATGAACAGAATATTTCAAGATGCTGCTAAAAGGGGGTCAATTGCAGTTTGAATGATATTAAGTGGACGATGTATGTTTATTATGGTGAAAACCATTTTATTTTCGATTGCTGAAGGTGCATATCGGGACTATCTTCACTTCGAAGCAGGATATAGAGGGGTATATCGAGAAAGTTATAGCTCATAGCTCTCCTTCTGTTTAGTGCATGTGCAAAAGATTTTTTAAGGAATCTTATATTAGTTATGCTCGTTATTGTTCAGAAATTGCGGAATAAATTGTTCGGAATTTGTACCATAGTTTTGCGCGTACATAGGCAACAAGTATATTAGAAAATGATAAAAAAGGACTGTGGTTTTTACCTTTAAAAGAAAGGAGATACTAGGAAATATAATACCCATCAAGATCCCTTCCTGTTTAGTGTACCAAAGAAATTTTATTCAAGAATCATATAAGCTGGAATAAGAAATATTGTCGATTGCCAGAGCGATATGGATTAAGAAACTCAAGTTGCACATTGGAAGAGAAGTTGAAAATTGGGCCTATCTTCACTTTAAGGCAGGTTATAGAGAAGTCCATAAAAAAAAAAAAAAAAAAAAATAGCTCTTTATCTGCTTAGTGCCTCACACTTTGGAGTATACTAATATCTAATTGTCTTTCAGAAAAGCTCGTTTTCCTTTTAGCTTCCTTAAAAAATCTTTTGCACATGCACTAAACAGAAGGAGAGCTATGAGCTATAACTTTCTCGATATACCTCTCTATATCCTGCTTCAAAGTGAAGATAATCCCGATGTGCACCTTTAGCAATCGAAAATAAAATGGTTTTCACCATAATAAACCTACATCGTCCACTTAGTATCATCCAAACTGCAATTGACCCCCTTTTAGCAGCATCTTGAAAGCATTCATTTAGCTATATAATGGATACTGGTCCTTTTTATCTTTTCCGAGGTTTTGGCACTTCCTTTCTCATTCGCTTAATGTATTTTTCCAATTTTCTGGTGATATATGAGTTTTACTAAACAACCCGGTAGCTATTCATTATATATAGTTCAGATTAGGTATATATTATTTTAGTTTATAAAACAGGTATTAATATGACTCGTTTTCTGGGAAGTATATAAATAGTTTAATTACCTCTAAGAATCAGTAAATATACGAAACACAGTGTTAAATTGCAAACGTTAAATAAAAAAAAAATAAAGATATTTAGCAAAGTATTTTTTAATTAAGTTTTATTATTATAATTATAACATTTTTACAATTGAGGTCTTCTTAAACGACCTACTTATAGAATAAAGGAGGTTACATTAAAAAAAATAATAATGAATTTTTTTTTTAAATTTAAATTTTCTTTTTTTTCAATTAAATTATTGCATCAATATTTGTTCGTTAATAAAACCAATATAATGTACCAAAAATGTTATATCACTATAACTAAGCCATTTATGTGAACTGAATGGTGTGGTAGAGGTAGTGTTGCCCAACGCAAGACCAAGACCAAGACCGCCTCGGTCTCGTCTTGATCTTGCGTCAACGAACCTTGGTCTTGGTCTTGCGTACTTAGCCTTGGTCTTGCGCACTTAGTCTTGGTCTTGCGCAAGAGTCTTGCAGTTAACTATCAGCTTATTGCTATTTATAAATATGATATTTTAAATTTTAGAATAACGCTACAAAATAACTACAATTAGATGTTTTATAGACATAAACATTGTAAAGTACAACTAAATAAAATTAAGAATAGAGAAAGATAGTGATAACCCTCCTCCATCCCTCCGATTATATGGAATGGAAGAGTTGTAGAGTAAAGACAATTTATATATTGTTACCAATGATTTTAATTAAAAATTTATTGTGTTTACTTAAAAGACTTTCCTATATATTTAAAAAAAATAAATAAAAAATACATCTTTAAATGTATTCATTAGATAAAAATATTAGATATTAAAAAATTAGAACCAATGTGACGAACATGGTCCTAAAAGGGTGTGATCTACCTGATGATCTCCGAACAGGATACCTCTGCTCCATCTTTAAAAAAGGAGATAGGAAGCAATGCCAGAATTATCGCGGCATCTGTGTACAGAGCTCAGTCAGTAGGATTGTTGGGAGACTCCGTCAGCTCATTGAGAAATGCAGGGCGAATAATAGGGAGCTTCATTTAGCCTTTATTGATCTGGAGCAGGCATATGACAGTGTCCCTAGGGAAAGAATATGGCCAGCACTGAGAAGAGCGGATATTAATGAATCCAAGGTACAAGCAATTCAACACTTGTATAGAAGCGATCTGTACAGAGTGAAGATTGGGAACCGCCTCTCGGAACCGTTTTCTGGAACCAAAGGGCTGAAGCAGGGGTGTTGTATGTCTCCAAGCATTTTCAAGATATACTTGGATGAGGTAGTGAAGCAATGGATGAGACGAAGTCGAGACTACGGAATGTACTTTGACGACGACGAGCTCCTTACCCTGTTCTTCGCA